GCAAACCAATCCAAAACGACGGCCCCGTTCTCTTTATGACTTTAATTGTCGTGTATTTTGAAATTAATGCTAGAGATGAATTTGACGGCAAAGCGGCCATATTTCCACGTGGTGATAATACTCATGCGCAGAAAGCTCATTTTCCGCACTCGGAACTACTCGGATGTCGCCGCAGTCGACAATGACATCATGGAGCTTGCGGAATTAGCCGAGGATTGCCGATTGCATTTTCCGGCAAATTCAATAACGACGTTTGCGACAACCGACTTCCTTGGGGGGGATTTTTTTTTTCTTTTTTTTGGAGAACGGACGAAAATCGGTGCGCGCGCAGGATGTCATCCATAAAATTTAAAAAGTGTGGCCTAACCAGTATGAAAAAGTTAGAAATCGAGATCGGAAACTGACAGTAACAAGTGCAGACGAGAACGGACGGTAAACGCCTTTAAAACTTGTTTGAATAAACGTAAGTTCAGTATTAATCTTATCAAATTTAAGAGCAACGAACTTTCAAACGCTAACACTTCAATTGTATCAGGTCGTAACGTGCGTCTGCATAGCGCGTTTGATACATTGTAGCAGACGCTTGAAACTTACGTGGAACGGGGATTTGTTACGCTCTGCATGCTGGGTAAAAAGGGCAAACTTCCGGTTTTGTTCCATAATCCGGGGTCGTTCCATAATGCGGGGTCGAGGTCTATATCACGGCAGATTTTATTATATTAATTTTTTTCTTTGCTTCAATTTCATAAAGCTGACCAAAGCAAAAGGTAAAAAATGTGTCAGGAGTGTAACCCTTTATGCAACAAACAGTAGCAAAATTAAAATTATGAAATAAAATGACTCTCATTTGATTTTAATATCAAAGAGCAGAGCTTTTTGTCCAAAATTAAGACACAGATATGATCTTCTGGGTAAAGAGGGAAGAACCTAACCATAAATCAATGTGCTGGTATGAAAAACCTGTGTTTTTTTTCTTTGGCCATATTTCCTATTTATTCACCTGTTTATTTTTTTTAAAATTAATTCATGCATGTTTTGAATTCATCTACCTGTGTTTTCCTGAGGACTTTCACTCCAGCTTCTTCCAAGTTTTCTGTGACTGCGGCACTCACCATGGAGTCAAAGGTGCGGAGAACCTGGAGAAGAACATTCAAATTAAAGGGGGTTCAATATGATATAAACAGGGGTGGATTTAGGCCGTTTTCTTGGTCTTCCAGAAGATGGTCACATTTTCAAGTTTACATTGGCGGGTGTCTAATTTTTTCTGTCGGAAGATGGTCAAAATAAAGAATAACTTGGAAGACTGTCAGAAAATATCTCTGAATCCACCCCTGATAAAACCTTATTTAAATCACTTTTGTATGAAATACAATCTTAACATTTGTGAAATAGAAATAAACATTTCAGGGGTAAAACTCCCTCTTTTGTTGTTTTATTCATCCCCCTACAAATTTTTGCACAGAAGTGCAACCATTTGGTTTGACATTATTTATTATTTAGTACAGAAAATATGACTAAGGGACATCTTTAAATACTGTTAGTTCTATCGGACTTGCCAATCTGAGAGACATTTCGGAGGGAAAAAATTGACATCACTTACTTTTATGGCTGCTATATGAAAGGAGAGGAATATATAATTTGCTCGGTTCAATAATTGGTTTGGTGTTGGTAGCTACAGCAGGAGTCATCCTGTGTTGCTGGAGAAATAACACCTTGACACCCAAGCGGTGCAATATGCTTTCATTTTAAGGTTTTTATCATTATAAAGGTATGAATGAGGAAGATGATTATAAGTACCTGTGCAGAATACATAGACACTACAGAAAACATTACTTCGGAGCATTTTGTAATGCAGATAGTATACCATTTAGTCTACCATTTCCTGTATAAATCTTCCCTATTAGAAACAAGCCCAGAGAGAAGTCAACGTAACATAATGTAACATCTCACAATTATAATTAGCACGGCTCAAGGTGCAACTGAAAATAGCACTACATTTAAACCACATCCTTCCTAGCTAGTGGGCAGATTGCTACTGGTTATCTTTTGCTTCTGTGTGCCTGGAAACCCCCCAGTTGTGTTCCCGCAATGATTTTTATCAGCTGCGATATCAGCTCAAAGCATCAAAAAATGAAGAAAAAAACCCTTTAAAAATCTTTAAAACAAAAGCAATGGAGCCACTCTCCCAGATCTCTCCTTGCCATGATTTGTAGAGATGTCACCATAAAGGAGAGGGGGGGGG